TGGTTTTGTGAAGTCCTCTGAGATAACTGCTGTTGTGATTTAGGGCCATAATAATATAAATTGAGTTGAATGATATAGACTCATTCCATGCTTAGTGACATATGCCTTTGTTTGATATAGTGTTGTTGATTGTAGCTTTTTTTCAAAGTATTCTATTTTTTACAGGACTAATTCAAGTGAAATTATTGTCGATTGTGTGATCATTAATAGTTTTGGACAGCGTCTGCGTGTGTGAACTACATTGAGTGATGTCAAAGTGTGAATATCCTGTTGCCTTTGAGATTGGATCAACCTCAGCTGCTAATCAGAAACTTGTCTACCGTCTGTGTCCTGACCCCATCTGCTGAAAAGAAGTGGCTTTGGGTCGTCTTTATTTCAGTGTATGAAGAATCAAGACCTATTTAGCGTTATTGTTTTGCCAGAAATATTTAATAAAAACTTGTACAATTTAAAATAACATAAATTAATAAGATATGATTGGAAACAAGCAATATAAATACCAGAAAGTGGATGACTTACAATGCAAACAAAACATTCCTGACAAAAGAAGCAGCGTCGGATCATAAAAGCCTTTGTAGATCTGAAGGGCTAACTGTTGTTGTGTTGTTTGGCAATACTCTTGATTCACATGACGTTGTATGGCTCAGGTGTGTGTCTAAATGATTGCTGGTGGTTTCAGGGGGAATAGCACTAATTGGCTTAAAGCTATAGCTTACCTTCAGCTTACTTGAATGAATATCGCAATAAGTTATGTTGAGTCCAAGTACAAAGATGTAAAAACAATGAATTGGAACCTGCATTTTAGATTCAGATTCATTTATTTGCCATTTTCAGTAAAACCACATTGGAAAAACTGTGCAAGACTACCCCAGTGTGCACCAGACAGAGAGGACGGCACACACCAGAGCTCTTTTAGTGTATTTCTGTAGGCGTGTGCGTGCGTGCGTGTGTGTGTGTATGTTGTTAACATTTGGTAACGGCCTATAATAATAAAAAACAATGGGTTAAAAAAAGCAACAACATATACTTACTTGTTGATACCCTTATTTATTAAGCAAAACAGTGGTATAAATATAGAGTTTTTGAAATCCAGACATCCTTACTGTCCACAAAGCTGCAAGTTTTTATAGTTTCTGCAATATTGGTTTATGTGTAAAATCCATGTGTTGCTATTCAAGTTCAATCCAATTCAATTTTGATGTTTACTGTCTACTCACAAAGACATTGGAACATATTTTGACTGGATTGGTAAACTGCTTGCAGGGTAAAACTTGTTTACTTACTTCTTTGGGTCTAAGGCCTGGCCACCATGTTTATTTCACATTTCAAACAATTCAATAAAGGCAACTGAGCATACTAAGCATATACAGATCTGGAGTATGAAAGACATCCCTCCCGCCTCCTGGCTTATCCTAACTTTATTGAACAGGGCTAATGAACGGGACTGGGGCAGCTGTATGAACAGAACCTGTGCTTCCTCCGCGCTCATTATTGATTTTAGAGTTACAACAGCTCATCTTTTTATATCTGATAAGTTATACACCGTAAAACCCGCGCGCAATCTGACGCACGACCACTGCGTAGATGTCATTTTGTATCTCTGATCTGCTACATATGAAAAATAAAGCAACTTCTTTTGAAAGATAGTGTCATGCACTGTATGTGTACTTTCATCATCATTCAATGTTTTTATAAAATGGATAATGCTAAAGTTTTCTTTGTGTGCTCCAGGGCGATTCAAAGACATCAACATTAAAATAATGAGGTTATTTAGTTAAAGAGCCTGTGTCTTCAAAAATGTGTTTTTTTGTTTGTTTTGTTTACATTCTGAGCAGTCCAAGCTTATCGCTCACTTTCTCCAGATTTCATAGTGATTTGATAAGCCGTTTTCCCGTCTTTCAGAACCCAAAACACACAGCCATATGATTTGGAACATAGTGAGTGATCTTTCTCTCTTTCTTCAGCTCTCCTCACTGTCCCCACTATCAAAATGTCCGCCGATTGGGGTCAGAGCATTCAGCCACTCAGACCCCCAAACTCTGGAATGCTACCAATTCACCTGCGACAGTTGGACTCTTAAACTTTTTTAAGTCACATCTCAAAACATTTTCAATCTGGCTTCTTCTTTGTCATTTGTATATGTATTCTATTCTGTACTGTTAATATTGTGTGTGATGTTTTTAATTTATTGTAAGGCATTCTTGGGTGTCTTTAAAGGCGCCATGAAATAAAATGAATTATAATTATTATAGTTTATTTTATTTTTTTTTTCTTCCTATGACTGATTGTCACTGCCGTCGGTTTGGGGGGGTTGTTTCTAAATTGTTTTTGAAAGACTTTTTTCTATGTGTTTTCATGTGTTGATTGTTGGTTTTAAATGTCAACGTGAAGCACTTTGGGATTGCATGTTGTATTTACTGTAAGAAAAGCAACCCTAGTTAACCTCAAAGTTGGGTTTGGGCCGAGGAGAGAGTTGCCTTAAGCCACTTGTCGCGTGACAAACAATAATATGTTTAGCAAACACAATATATTGTGTAGAGTGTGCAAAGTCAAGTGTGAATTGTGTTAAATCAGAATCAGAATAATTTTTATTGCCATGTAAGAAACAGGAAGTCACAGACTAGGAAAATGCTTTGGCTCGGTGCAATTGTCAAAGAAGGGAAGTAAAGAATAGAGTAAGGCATACTAAAAATCAGCATACACTTCTAAGGTATAGAGATTATACTTTATGACGGGTGACATTGACATTGGCAGGACCTGTTATGGATACCTTTGTGTAGGTCCCTGGATTATCCGGAGGATGGCCAATGTCTTTGCGGATTTGTGAAGTGTAAAGATTAGGGCTCAGCCATAAGTAAACTAAACGCTCGAGGGCGGGGCAGTTCGACGGGTTTTTCCGTAAGGCGCAGACTTGGATAGAAGCCGTCGTGGCTCTCAATCCAGTTTATTTTTACTTTTCTATTTCAATACATAATTTTCTTCTTTTTTTACAATGTTTTTTTATTCCTATGAAAAAGTGTTATTTGCCCAAATTTTGTTTATTTATTTTGTATTTATTTAGTTTTGTGTTGATTTATTTTTTTTATGTAATTTTGTATTTATTTTGAATTTTCCCTTGTTTGATTCATTATTTTTTAAATCGTTTTTTTTTAGTTTATTGTTTTTATACCATGAACTACTGCATGGCCGACATGTTTGACACGCCGCACCCCGGAGGTCCTGCTGCGGGCTTCTCCTCTTTCCAGCCGGCTTTGGAGCCGTGCATGTTCTCCTCTCAGACCCACAGCTTCGGACCTTGCGACTCCCAGACCCTCCACCACCACCACCACCACCTCCAGCCCCCGTGTCCCGAACCCCAGTGGGCCCCCTCTCAGCTCTACTCCTGCGCATACGCCGGCCAGCAAGCCTTCGCCAAGAAACAGTTCTATAACCAGGAAAAACAGTTCTATAACCAGGAAAAACAGTTCTACAGCCAGGAAAAACAGTTCTACAACACGGAAAAACAGTTCTATAGCCCTGACAGTGCGATTAGTCACTACAGTCCGTCCGAGATTTTCCCGCAGATCAACCCCTACTTTGCGCATTGGACGCAAGGCTCGAACAAGAAAGGTATGGACGTAGTCAGTTTACGATTAAAGATTAAGAGATACTTTGTTGTTTATTTTCATGTACTCTCCTTTTTAAATATAATTTCATAGTCCAATGTCATTTCTAAAACTAGACTGACATTTCAGATCTCAGTATTCACACAATGATGCTCTTTTCTATACCTTTACCTAAAACATGGAACGTAGAGAATATTATTTTTAAACTTAATGCTGGGGTACTTAATGTTGAGTTGAGTGTTTATTTATTTCGAATTCTATTATTATTACTAACATTATTATCAAGTCTAATATATCATTTTGTATACATATACAACATATCTTCATTGACAATTACTAACCCTCAACAAAATTCATTGAGCGAGTTCTCTGTTTTATTTTATGTCTAGTTTTCACTTGCATGTATTTTTGGCCTCTGTCACATCTTTAGATCAGTTTTTTCAGACAGAAAAGTGAAAAAGAGGGGACCATCATCACCTAGCACAAAGAGTCAATTAGTGACTCACCTTACAAGTATAGAAATTACAAAATTACAAATTACAAAAGTTAACATTTTTGAATATGATGAGGACGGCATGTTGTTGTTCTTTAATGAAACTCTTTATGTTGGGACAAACAACAAGAAAAAGGAAAATAAGAAAACAATAATATTAGGGACCTCAGTTTAATGTGTATTTTCAATAATAAATTGTAAAAGGTTCATTTAGAGAACACATTTGGAATCGTAAATATATTAATATTATATGGTGGAAAACAGTGAGACCAACAGGGCTTGCCTTTCTAATTCAGTCAAATTAGCTAGCAGGTTAGATAAGCATCGGCAGGTTTCATATCCATGCTACATTGACATATACTACAACTACACTGTGGAAATTTTAAGTGTACTTATTGTCCTGTTCTTTTGTTTGAAATTACATGTGAAAATCCCCTTACTTCTTCTCGGCTTGTCCTGTTTGGTCACATCCAGTGTAGTCTCCAGTATCGAGCGAAAAACAAGGATATAATGGAAAAGCATAATATAAATATAAACCTGGAGGCTTGCATTTTGACTGGTGTTGCGAAAGTGTGTGTGTGTGTGTGTGTGTGTGTAAGTAAGATTTCTGGAGTCTATTATGGAGCCGCGTGCAGAAGGCGGGTTGGGGCTCAGTATTGATCACGGCTGTGGCAACAGAAGGCCGACGGCTTCTTGACAACCTCAAATATTGATCACATTAAGGATGCCATATTTCAATTATTTCTGAAATGCTTGTTTCTTTCTAATGCTTGCGCACTAATCCAATCTTCTTTCTGATTAACGCATTTGCTGTGACTCTCTGGCTGATAACTGCTACACAATCGCTCGTATTTTTAACAATGAGATATTCCTCTGACTGAACTGTTGTGTTTTTGCTCTAGGGTACATACCGAGTTACCTAGACAAGGATGAGTTATGCGTTGTTTGTGGGGACAAAGCCACGGGGTACCACTACCGCTGTATCACATGTGAGGGGTGCAAGGTAAGGAAGTAAGTCTGGATTAGGTGGGTTGACATTTTGCTTACGTGGCGCTATATCTAAGTGTAAGCGTTTGCGGGTTTTTTTTGTAGGGTTTCTTCAGGCGGACCATCCAGAAGAACCTCAACCCGACCTACGCCTGCAAGTTCGAGAGCAAATGCGCCATCGACAAAGTGACGCGGAACCAATGCCAGGAATGTCGCTTCAAGAAGTGCATCGCGGTGGGGATGGCCACGGACTGTGAGTAGTTTAGCAGAGGCCTGTTTGCTTGATAAATAACAATGATAGATAGATAGATACTTCATTGATCCCCGTTGGAGAAATTCCGGTGTCCATAAAATTGAAAATGAAAATGTATCATTCTAAAAAGCTAACAATAGTAATAATAAGCAATAATGATGATAATAATTAGGGATGCACCAATGCATTGGCTGAACATCGGTATTGGCTGATGTTTGCCTTAATAACTACTATTGGCAAAAAAAAAGAAATTTGCCAATGGTAGGCGCGTGTGAAGAGATATCGGTGGAGTCCGTCCACTCACTTTTCTCAGTAGAAGAAACAAAGAAGATGGCGGCAGTCGTGTGGCAATAATTTACAGAACCAGAAAAAGGTCAGCGTTATGCAGTTTGCAATATGTGTTCCTGTGAGATTTCAAGAGGGGGGGACAGCTAGAAAATCATGTAACACAACAAATCTCATTGGACATTGGAGAAGCAAGCATGAAGCGGTGTACAGCAATCGCATACAAGCTGAAGAAAAACAGAAAGCTGAATGCACCAAGAAAGCACAAACCCCGGCATGTAATTCGGGCGTTCTGCTCTCCCAAAATTTCATCCACTGAGCGGCGCTGTGATCAAAAAATGACACCGTTTGTTGCCCAGTTCACTTCCGGTTGATTTCATACAATGGCGAATATGGCTCACGAAAACAACAAACGATTGACAGTGCCTGAATTGCGTGAAAGGTTGAAGCGAAAGGGTATTTGCAGTGTGGGAAAACGAAAGGAGGAATTGTTGTTGCTAGTTCAACGAGCGGATGGTGTTTATGAAGATTTAGAAGAAGATGACAGCGAGCAGAGTGAACGAAAACGGCTGTGTGTGCGAGTGACAGATGGTAACAATGAGAATGAAGTTCAGCTAAGAGGGAAGAATGTGAATTGGACGGATGATTTGCGCGATATGCCACTAGTTAGAGACGGGAATGTATTTGCATACAGAAAATGACGAAAACACTCAACCATTTAGAGAAAATGCGCCGGGCAGAGAGAACGGGAAGTTGCGAAGGCAAGTGTTACCCATAATGCAACGCAAAATTCAGTCGCTCCCCCGCCCATCGGATGGAATTTTGGGAGAGCAGAACGCCCGAATTAAAAACAAAAAGAAAAACACCATGTTAAACATCGGTGTCGGTATTGGCCCAAAATATCACAATCAGTGCATCCCTAATAATAATAATACATTTTATTGAACATAATATTTTATTATTCTATGGAGTTGACAATCAGCATAGTCTTGCTCTAACACTAATGGCTGGTCTAAAATCTGGTCTGTCCAATGTAACTGTTGTGTTCATAGAAGATGAGGTAAGATGAAACTCTATTGTTCTCACAATGGATAAATGTACATGTCACATCAAATGAATAAATTCAATTAATACATAAATAAAAACATTTCCATAAACCCTCAGAGTGCTACAACGTCTAAAGTACATAAATTATTAAAAGACATGGAGTGGTTAAAAAGGGTTTAAAATAATTGCAGATTCAATTTAAATGTGTGAATTTTTGTACAGTCTTAGATCATTCGTCTCTGGGGATTTTACGAAGTTGTCGATTCACCGACAACAGATCCGAGAATCAAACAGATCGAACACAGGAAATGCAATAATAAAGATGACCTAATACATTTAAAAAAGGCAAGTAATGAGACAACAAAATAAGCTTTTACGGTGGCAGCCGCAGATGTGGATTTGAATTTTAATAATCAATTAGTTGATTGTTGATTATTTTTCTGTCAATTAATCAGTTAGTGGTTTGAATCCCTAACCGATCAGCAAAATGGGATTGTTTTTGACTAAATCAAAGCTCATTCATAGATACAGTATGACTGCTACATATTGGGATGTTTGATTAAAAATACTTTACAGCCCTAAGACTAATATTCTAACCATTTTCCATTATCTATGATTCAATGATTACGCTGACAATTATACATGTTTATTTTACCAACTTTTATCTGATGTTTGAGAACGATTTGTGTCGTTGTTATGGTTTATTGGAACTAATGCTATCCACAGTTTGCCACAATCACATATTGACAAACTTTCTTCTGAGCTTCTTTGTCAATAACCACATTGAAGTCCGGCGTGAAAAACTCTGCCGATCGCGCTGATGTAGCCAGTGAAACGATCATCTCAAAAAAGCCAGTAAACGATCATCATTTAGCCAACTTCATCTCCATTCTGTTAAACTGTATGGTCATACCTTAAAGCTCAGAACAGCCTGGATCACATACTTTTGTTCCTTCGCTGGTTTTAGATTGTTGTGCAGAAGAAAGTGTTAGCGATTAGCATAGTTAGCATTATGATTTACTGCTGTTAGTTTTGTTGTTTTGTATTTGGTGGATAAGTGTGTATCTGAGCGGCCCGCTTTGAATTAGTGTAATGCTGCTGTAGATTAATCCAATACATAAACACCTAGGTTCAAGATGTATATCGTTGCATTCATTTATTTATTTCAAGCTTAAACAGGAATCAATTGTATTTTAAAGTATTTACATGATACATATACACACACACACACACACGTACATCTAATCATACATACACACAGACACACACACACATACATCTATACATACATACAAACACCCACACACACACATGCAAACATACATACATAAATATACACCCACACACACACATACAAACATACACCCACACACACATACACATACATACAGACAAACTGTCAAAGCCAGAAGGAAGTCAAACTTACACACCTCATAAACCTAAATTCACCTTATACGGTGGGATTGCTTTAATTTCATGTACTTTTGCATTCAAGTGCATAAAATAATAATAATAATACACAATGTATCACTATTTTTTTGAAGTACGAAATTACAATTTCTATCTATCCACAGTCCTCATTACACATGGGCCTCATTTATGAAGCGTTTTCTCACACTGAAGCAGACTATAGAACATACTGATCTAAACCACTGAAATCACACACACAGCTTCAGTTTGTATCCGCAGCTCAGCACCAGGGTGGCTGACAAAATGTGTGATGCGTTTAACCATTTTAAAACAAAATTTAACTGTTCTTTCAGCGTACAATCACACTTAACCAGACAGTACCATACAACAGGAGGATAACATACAACCAGAGTGTGGGTGAAGGTGCAGGAGGGTTGGGGAGCCAGGGTTGTTATGAGGAAAAAATAACAGCAATTCTACATTAAATACAGTACAAGAAAAGATAAAACAAACAATATAACAGTGTGGAATTTGATGGAAAATGCTTGAAATAGTGAGAGGGGTTTTATTGCTTTTGGATGATTAACAGATTAACTAAGTCATATTTAGTCTTGCATCTGTTGAAAAAAACCCAAAGAGCATGACATGGCTTTGTGTTGTGTATTAGTGGTGCTGGACGACAGCAAGAGACTGGCCAAGAGGAAGCTGATCGAGGAAAACCGCGTGAAGAGGAAGCGAGAGGAGCTCCAGAAGACCGTGCTGGACCGCCTGGAGCCCACGCAGGAGGAGTGGGAGCTTATCCGCATGGTGACCGAGGCGCACGTGGCCACCAACGCACAGGGAAACCACTGGAAACAGAAGCGCAAGTTCCTGGTGAGACGTCCTGCCGCCACAGCGCTCCAGCCACTGTAGCAAATGTTAGATTGACGGTCACTATCCACCAGTGTTTCTCCGGTGCTGGCAAAAATCAATGTATTACAGGAAACGTAATGCTAATACTGCTACGAGTGCCTTATTACGGACACACACCAGTTTCCCCTTTGCAGGTGTCCAAGGTATTCTTCCAAAGGAGCGGTGTGTAGCTCACTAGTGGCCTCTGGTGGCTACAGTAGCAATTACAGCTCCACATGCTTACAACTGGTTAATAAGACATTTGCTGGATATATGTGTCACGCTGGACAGAGTAACAGGTCCTCAGCGGGCCCTGGATAGTGCCGGTCTAACATGCAGAAGTCAATGTCGAGCCCGTGTCCACCACTGTTCCTGTTTAACATCTGTGTTTTGTATCTCCTTATAGAGTGGGGAGTGTTAGCTGGACTTCGGAAAAAAATGTGTGTTCTTCAGTCAGCATTGGCTTGTGCTTAATATTCTAATTCTTGCCACTCATGCCTTTGAGCAACAATCTAAAATCACTATTAACTGGGCCTAATCTTCTCTGATGCCTTCTCATTCCTCTTTGTGTTTGTAGCTTTTGATTTCACACTTCACCTTTGTTTGACTAATTTGCTTTTCTCTTGTGCAGATTGAACTGTATTGCTGCTATTTACTTGGGTTTTTATGGCAACACCAGGAAGGGAAATACAAGATTGGTTTTTTATATAAAACAAAACATTATTCTCTTTTTTCAGATATTATGGAAGAAAGCTTTATGCTGTGTTTTGACTTCCTCCACCGTACACATGGCGAGTGTATCGTGGAGAAAGGCAGTTCTTCAATTTAATTACTGTCATCATGATTGGTTTGAAAGCTATAATCTGTTTACGTTAGGTTGGGCCTGTTGACTAGACCCGCCTGGCTGTTGCCATAGAAACCCTGCTGATGTTGTGTTGCTTGTCTCTCTGCTGCTCTCTCATTTGTCTTCAGTTTAACATGTTTTCTTTGAGTTGACACGGGTTCTTCATTGAAACTTCACGATTCCTGTTGATTATCCAACAGGTCGAGGAAGCTATGCTTCTAAATGAAATAACATGTAATTTATTCTATACTCCTGACCAGAGTGCAGCAGGGGTGAAGGAAGATAAGGTATGAGTCTGTTTCTTAAACATGCGCTGCCCTGTTCTAGAGCTAACACGTCTCCCATGTTGCAGCCAGAGGAAATTGGTCATGCGTCGATGGTAAATCCTCCTGAGGGAAACAAAGTGGACATAGAAGCCTTCAGTCAGTTTACAAAAATAATCACCCCTGCCATAACCCGAGTCGTGGACTTTGCCAAAAAACTGCCTATGTTCTGTGAGGTAAGTGCTACTGTTTTAAAGATAAGATGGTCTATGTAGAGTTAGAATGTGATGTGAAGGTCATTCCCCTGTGTGTAATATGTCCAATGTGTGTTGCTGTGTGTAATGTGTCTAATGTGTGTTGCTGTGTGTAATATGTGTAATGTGTGTTGCTATTACAGCTGCCTTGTGAAGACCAGATCATCCTGTTGAAAGGGTGCTGTATGGAGATCATGTCGCTCCGAGCCGCTGTGCGCTACGACCCTGAGAGCGAGACGCTGACGCTGAACGGGGAGATGGCAGTGACGCGGGGCCAGCTCAAGAACGGAGGGCTGGGCGTGGTTTCGGACGCCATCTTTGACCTGGGCGTGTCCCTGTCCTCCTTTAACCTGGACGACTCTGAGGTGGCTCTGCTGCAGGCTGTCATCCTCCTCTCCTCTGGTGAGTGGGCAACAGTGGGAGAGGACAACAGACTAAACACATGGAAACATCACATTATCACTCACCATCAGGTTCTCTTCAGTCAGCTTTATGAGTCAGGACCATAGACTGTAAAAATTAATGGACATAGTCACGCCTATCTCCGCCGTTCTAACTAATGGGCCAAAAATAATGCTCTACTGGAGCTATCCAAAATGGCCGCGAGTGGTCCCGCCTACAAGAAAATTGTGAAAAAACGCATCTGCGCATGCGTCAGCCAACGCAAGCTCCATTAATTTGAACGAGACACTTCAAAAATTCACAGCAAGTAAACTAGAGTGGTCCAAAAAAATTCACTCCCCTCAGCATTGACACACATGTGGAACGGAGCTTTGGGCCAAGAGCCAACTTTTGGTCCATTCTGTAAAGACGTTTTCGAGAGGTCTGCCAATGCTATATGTTAGCATTGGCTAATTCTTATTCCGGGTCCACCCCCATCGGCCCGGGGTGGTATTACAAGCATGTCAGCGCACGTCATTTTGGCCACTTTTGAGCCGGGACCCGCCCCCACTGGTCAGGACCCAATAAGTGAGCGATTCAAAACAATAGAGAATAAACAATAGAATGTATATTCTATTGTTGTTAGTGGCCACACGATGGAGGCAGGAAGGACTGTTTCATTGTGCACCTTAAAGATTTTGAGTTTTGAAATATGTTGCGGCACAATGGCTACTAACTACAACTGTTTTCAATCTTAGGTGCGCTAGATTTAGGACTGAAAATCTTTTAGAACCTGCCGATGCGTGGGTCGATACAGGGCACTTGGGATGCGATATATTTCCAGGCGTTTCGATACCACACAATGAAACATACTTTTATCTGCCTTTTACAAGTTTTTCTTTTCAAACATCTGCTTTATTTTACTTCAATTGAAATAAACTTTTACCCTTTTACTGCCAATAACAAAATTTGTGGAACATAGTAACATAATAAAATGTTTTAAACGGTAAACTCTTCATATCCAAAAACGAATAAAACCTATGTACACATTATCTATTTTTCCGCTAAATTATATAATATATTGTTATAATATATGTTAGATCTATTCTAGGTTTATGAAACACAGCCCCAGAGATATAGCTTGGACTTACTATTTAATACTATTAGGTCTTAAACTAACTTATGGTTCCATAATTAGCTCAGTGGCGTCTTCATTCTCATCCTAATCATATGTATACAGTAGTGTATATATTCTGACATGAAATCCATACCAAGCTTTAATCAATGACTGTGAGGCCACAGTTTTTGTACGAGTCGCCTCAATCAATCGAGTGAGGAGCAGCGGATCAATACTGCAGGCCACTGTGACCCATCTGTCACAAAGGCATCAATGCTGCTGCTGCTGTTGCTGCTGCTTCTGCTGCTGCTTCTGCTGCTGCTGCTGCTGCTGCTGCTTCTGCTGCTGCTGCTTCTGCTGCTGCTGCTTCTGCTGCTGCTGCTGCTTCTGCTGCTGCTGCTTCTGCTGCTGCTGCTGTTGCTGCTGCTTCTGCTGCTGCTTCTGCTGCTGCTTCTGCTGCTGCTTCTGCTGCTGCTGCTGCTGCTGCTGCTGCTGCTGCTGCTGCTGCTGCTGCTGCTGCTGCTGCTGCTGCTGCTGCTGTTAAACTTATACGCTCCCCTGTCAACTTGTATTGATTATTATGGCGGCATGATCTCACCGTCGTCAGGCTTTAGCTGATATAACATCAATAATATGATCATAAAACATTTAGGCTTGTTTGTGAGTTTGTGCTAGAGTTTTTGGATTATAAATATTTAAAAAAACGTTTAGATGTTTTTGTTACTAAAATTGCTGGGGAGAAATATTACATGTACAAAACAGTATACAGTATATATATATTTTTACCTCAGTAATTTTCAGATAAAAACATCAAAAAGGCTCATAGCTATCCTCGCTGGCCATACAGTGCAAGGAAAATATGGCAGGTGTTTGTAACGGTTATGACATTGTTTCCACTGTAAAAACCGAGCTGTTTTTAGCTCCATCCAGCATCCATCTGGATGAACACAAGATTAAGATTAAGATCCCCTCATTCAAAGTTTCAGTGTTGCATCACCAGTTACAGAACAGTAGGAATGAGTAACACACAGCATGAGATAAATAAACAATAACTCTATAAATAAAATGGAATAAAATCTCTAACTCATCAAAAATCTCTATCTTTAGCATAATGAGCACAAAAACTCTGAGTGTAGCATAATAAAGAAGTATAAAATCTATAACTCCGGCATAATAAGAAGCAAATATAAAGTACTGTATATTAGTACGATAAATATATAGTTGTATGTATACATCTGTACATTAGTAGCACGAGGGTCTGGGTCAAAGTGAGTAAGTAGAGCAATAGTGACAGATGTGGCTCTATAATACACATTCTTACATTATGAGTTTGAGTTGAGTATTATTTCTAGCTTTTATGTTATTAATGTAATTTACACCTGTCTCTGTTGTCTCTCCGCAGACCGACCGGGCCTGAGCAGCATTGACCGGATCGAGCGCTGCCAGGAGGAGTTCCTTCTGGCCTTCGAACATTACATCAACTACCGCAAACCCAAATTAACGCACTTCTGGCCCAAGCTGCTAATGAAGGTGACGGACTTGCGCATGATCGGTGCCTGCCACGCCTCGCGCTTCCTCCACATGAAAGTGGAGTGCCCCAACGAGCTTTTCCCTCCTCTGTTCCTGGAGGTGTTCGAAGACTGACCTCCTATATGTGTGTGTGTGTGTGTGTGTGTGTGTGTGTGTGTGTGTGTGTGTACGAATGAAACCAGCAAACCGCCCAAACTCTCTACTGACTTCATTCCGTAGCTCTATGGTCAGGACGCCAACCATTCCCTACAGCGCGGGTACATGTGAATAGTTTTGTGTTTTTTGGTTTCGTTATCCGCAGATATACAGAAACCTCTCACATCTCGGGTTTGAAAATAGTTTTTATTCGTGTGTCCATGATTGTACAGTTGGTGTATTCCTTTTTTTTAATTTTGACGGAAACCACGCAATTTCTCTATCTCTCTCTCCGACAGTTTTTCTTACGAGGCTGCTCCAGACACGCCTTTTCTAGCAACCAAAATCCGTTCTTTTTCCCCTCTTGTTGTATATACTACAACTTCTGTGAATGCAACTTGATGTAGTCTCTCACACCTTTTACTCTAACCTCCGAAAAACCGGTCAGTCCTCACTCAAACCTCAACACAGCAAGACACAAGTCGGTCTCGAAGTGAAGTGTGCGATAGTTATTTAAAGCAAAAAAAAGCCGTAGAAAACAATGAGCATGCTCTTTTCAATGCATGTACTTAAGCACTACATGACGATCCCAGTCTCTGAAGTAAAAAGTGATTCAAGGATGTGTCCAAATTCACACACGTTCAATAACGCAATGCTCAAAGGTGAACACACAAAAAAACAACACGCAACATCCTCGTCTTCCTCAAACCGTCTTCGTTCTGTCCATTTTTCAATACCCTTTTCCCATGTAGTTTTAAATGTAACCATGACAACAAGCTGCAAACAATTCTTCAGCTGTGACTAGACCCGATCACACGAGAAAAAGTAGTTCCCTATTAAAGCTGGGGTACCGCAACATTGTGGCTTTATTTTGGTTATAAAAAAATCCCATATTCACCGACCTCTAAACAACTAATTGATTATCAAAATTATAGTTAAAGGTGATGTCAGGGAAATAAAACATATTTTTGACCGTATGACCCTGTAGTATCATCTAAATTAAGTATTGGAATAAGATTTGCTAAAGGGAAATAGTTTGACCAATGGGGAGGCGTCTCAGCTGTCACTCAAGGACTTTAATTCATTGCGTCCAATCAGGAAGCTGTGGGGGCGGGTCTAGCCGGCGCTTGCGTTTTAAAAACACCTCTCTCCATCTTCACATATTGAATAGTAACCGAGCCTCTCACATTAATTCAATTCCACATGACAAAAATAAATCATAACGCAATCAAACACACGATTATGGACGCCGCCAGAGGAGAGGCTAAGGTGCTTCTTCTCTCTCACACCGAACAGATCAGCATCCCAGATCAGCGTCACATCAGACTGTAATACCGGCCCCCATTACCAAACGACACTCGAGTCATCGGCCCGTCTGCCCAAGCCCCGAGCGAAAGGCTCCCATTCTCACTTCATCTGACTGTGAGAGCCGATGGGAAAAGCACTCACATATAAACTCCGATCGCGTGTGCTTTTTGTGTTCTGTGTTTTGCTCTCGTCTCTCTATCTCTCTCCCCCGTCTTGAAGGGGCGAGATACAAAGTGGCGTCATGGTGCTACGTGGGCTCACAATGCATTCGTATGTTTTACAGATTCAGCTTTTATTTATTAATGTGTTAAAGGGAACGTTAAAGGAGACATGTCATGCAAAAACAATCTTTAACAGCCACTTATTGCACTGTGAGCTTCTCTTGCCGTTAGCTTGGGCAAAGCTGTTTTTTTTAAATATTTTGTTTGAAGTATCGATTGCGTTCGTGTTGTAGAATTTTATTTCAGTATTTCCGGGCAGGTGCCAATATAACTCTATGGGAAAGAAGCCATTTTTGAAAGAGAAAATGCCCAAATGTTTTCCCAGATCCTATTGTTATGTCTGAAAGTTCTTTGCCCCAAGATTACATAGAAATTAGCTACAAACTGAGCCTCTCACTAGGAAGAAAAAACTCAAACTAAAACTAAAAAACTAAAACTAAAACTAGGAAGAAATATTTTTGACGGTCACCATAGTTACCAGGATATATTTCTCAGCTATCCTCTACCACAATGTCATGAACGAGAAATCTATCTGCTTTTGAGGCTTAAAGCTGAGGTACCTAACTTTTTGGTTGCATAATGTGTTTGTCTACTATAACATTTTGTAAAACATGTTATATTGACTTGTACATACTTAAGGAGAGCCCTGTAAGTCACTGTTTGAGCTGAGAGCTGATTGGCTGAGTGTGGGCGGTCCTCTCTTTTTCATTTCTCTGTCTGAAAAAGCTGATCTGAAGATGCAAAAAGAGAAAAAAAAGTACATTAAAGCTAGTGATAGAACTGTTTTGAGCCCGAGAAACCAGTTAAATGGATTGTATTACATTAAAGTCTATCTGCTGTGGTTTGAAAGTCAGGTACCCCAGCTTTAAGTGCTGAGAAAATGTTTGTTTTGTCAAGAAAAGAAAAATGGGGAAAAAAAGCATGAATGTAGACATTCATGAAAACGTAAAAAACCTAATTATACAACCGCTAATTTGACCTGTATCTTCTCATTGTGGATGTTTCTACAAATACAAGTTAAACAAAATTATTGGATGAAAAAGAAAACTTGGATGATGTCGACCAATATTTTGACAAGGCAAGGCAAGTTTATCTGTATAGCACGATTCCTACACAAGGCAACTCAAAGTGCTTGACAAAAACACCGCTTTACTGGAGTGACCTGCCGTTACGACAAAGGCAAAAACAATAGACTTTTTATCTATTACATGAGCATTTCTGGATTACATTTTGTTGCAGGCATCACACATATGTGGCTCTTACCGCCTCTGCATCGCTGCCGCGCGTGCCAAAATGTCTCCTCTCTCACCACATTTCACACTACACACTTTCACACTACAGCTGTCAGATCTGCTGAAGCATTTGGGCAAGGCAAATCTTTCACAAGAAAACACAACACGATGAAGATAGCGCATGCGTTGAAGCAAAAAATGATTCTTTTTCGAATACAAGAATGTCCATAACATGTCTCCTTTAATTATGTAACAATAACATGTGATATTAGCTACAAGTTAAAGCTGGGATACCTCACTTTTTTGGTTCATAATTTAATAGATACATATAATATAGATCACACCAGGCTTTCTTCATGTTGTGAGAAGAAATGTCATCTGTTAAGTAACTATAAAGATATATTTCATTGTTCATTTCATTGTTCTGGTATGAAAGTTAAGTAACCCAGCTTTAACTAGCCTTATTAGAGCAAAGACTTAAATCCCTCATGCTTTATGATGTGTCGGTATTATGTGTACAGTCAGCTGTGTCTTTGCTAACATCATTCTTTCTCTCCATCATGTTGAAATGTGACGTTTTCGGAGGCGACGCTGGTCTAAAAACACGCCTATATGAACATGTAAAGCTGGTCGTTTGGTGGCGCACACTGGGAATGACGCTGGCGAGCTTTGTGTAGTCTAGTTTCTCTGTTTTTTGTGTTGTTGTTTTTTTTTTTGCCGGTTTCCCTCTTTTGTTGTCATGTTTCGCAGGCTTTGTAAAGAAAGAAAAAAAAAAAGAAAGAAAACATCGCACAAACACACGCCATATCCTTTTGTTTTCTCCTTTCTGTCAAAGTGATGCCTTTTGACTTTTGATCCTGAGCAATAGATTCCTCTGCAGCGTCGGAACGAGCCGGACCTCACACACACACACACACACCCCTGTACAGACGTCATGAATGCACAGACAATCAGAGGCGGGCGGGCACCTGTGGGAGGCAAGACGAGAGGCATTGATCCAGTTTATGTTGTGCTCTGTGTGGTTTGGGGGTTGCTGATTGGTTGATCAAAGGACTGCGCGGTAAGAATTAGTTTTCAGAGTCAGACAGAGAAATTTGACAAAAGATGTTCTCCAACCAAGCTCCATATTCGTGAATCTACTCTGTGTGTTTTTGTGCATATCAAAATCACAGAATTGATTGTTATTTTTAAAATGTATTATTATTATTGTTTATTTATTTATTTAACAGAAATGATCCTGTCAATTCAATTATTTTTGGAGGACTTCACAAAGTTTTAGAACTGTCAAAAACAGATCAGAGAATCAAATAGTTCAAACACAGGAAAAACAATCATAACAATGTCCATAAATGTCCTGGATCATTTCTGTCCTTAGACCCTCCTTGTTTGGCAAATAAAAACCCAGTGGGGACAAAATTATTAACCAGGGATCTGCTTTCCTCCTGATCTTTTTTTTGTTTTATTAAAAAATGCATTGAGTCTTGAAGGGATTCACAAAATTGTTGAAAATCAAACACTTAAAACAGTTATTGGTTTAAAAGGACCTGGACTGAGGCTGAGGCTGTAGGTCCAGGACTCAGGCTGTAGACCCAGGACTGAGATTGTAGATCCAGGACTGAGGCTGTAGATCCAGGACTGAGGCTGTAGACCCAGGACTGAGACTGTAGATCCAGGACTGAGGCTGTAGACCCAGGACTGAGGCTTTAGACCCAGGACAGAGGCTGTAGATCCAGGACTGAGGCTTTAGATCCAGGACTGAGGCTTTAGATCCAGGACTGAGGCTTTAGATCCAGGACTGAGGCTTTAGATCCAGGACTGAGGCTGTAGATCCAGGACTGAGGCTTTAGATCCAGGACTGAGGCTGCAGATCCAGATGTAGGTTTCATACTATACAAAAATTCCAAATTGTCCAAACTCTTTATTGTTGTTACTAGTCCAGTCCTGTGCAGGTTCAGTCGGCCGAGCGTTGTTGTTGTAAACATTGTGTTAAAAATAATAACACAAAGACCAAGACCATCATAAAAATCTGAAATTGCGGTTGTTGAAATGCAGTAGGTAACATTTGTCATGATCTCAGTGGCTCTTTTGGACCATAAAGTCCCAAGATTAACCTCAGGAACTTCATCAGGTCTCGTCTCATTTGGATTTCCCTGCATCTGGAGACCCCAGTGTGTGTTTAGTGACGTGGGTTTGAATCTCAGCAGTGCCAGACCACATCCCACTGTCCCTCTGTCCTGGACACGAGCAATCACATGACCCACACTGTCCCCTCTGTCCCACGGAGACTCGACTCAGGAGTTATTTTCACTATTATTACTAATGTTGAATTCGTACGCAGCACTGTGACTTTGGACCAATCACATCCACTGTTGATTTCACCCCCTGCACACTCTACCTCAGGCACAGACAGAATTCGGTTCCTGGAAAACTTTTCGGCATGCAGTACGAGAGCCATACAGAGATTCACGCAACTACGGCAACGCAAACACGACTTTTGGATTCTGCGTACATGAAAAATGGACAAATAGTTCAATCATAGCTTTCACGATGGCACAGGTTTGGTTTCTCTAATGAAAAATGTGCTTCGTAATAATAGGCAAAACAAAGACAGCAAATTCTTCACCATATTTAGAGTTGCTTTTACCACATATTTGCACTGGGACTGCAAAAATCTTGCCAAAAAATTATGAGAGGAATTTGAAAGCTGCGGGAACCTGCTTTTCCAACTAGGAATGAACAAAGTATATCTAATAACAAACATTTTATTCCCCACCGTTCATATTGTTATTTTTTAAAGGAGAAAATAGGAGAGATAGGCACACTTGAATCAGCTCGCACGCCCAAAAAGTCAAATAGTATTGTCGTTTTCATACTGCAGTATTTAAGCCTGAGACCGATGGGAAAGGTAGGCGAGTTTTATGGTCCTGTGTCATCAAGCTCTCTTGGTTTACGGAGGCCGAACCAAGCGGAGAGAGCCAACCTACAAACCAACTGTACAACAAGGAGAAAAGGACAAATCATCAAAACAGAAACAAACACAAAAGATATTTTTGAAAGACATCTTGATTGTTATTGGACAGTGATTTGATTTTGTCACCAATTCAAGACAGATTTATAAGAAAATAATCAGACCACAGTGTTGTAGGCTAGTTTTTGGAAGGTAGTGTGTGTCAAAGTAACAGGCGCCAGTTTTTGAAATCGTTTAAGAAATTAGCAAAAAATGTGATCAAGAATATGGGAAGCTGTCGTCATTTTCTGTCTCAACGTTTTTACGATACGATTTCTGGTAGAATCTGCAAATTTTTCAAAAAACAAAGTTGGATACCCCAGCTTTAAGTGAACTCAGTAATGTATGGGTGAGATTCAATTACAGTATATTACTTTGAATGTCCTTATGTCCTCTAAGACCTGGTAGAAACTTTATGAGATGGAATGCATGTTTTTTGTCATAAATGCATGTGGACAGACACCAGAGCTGCACAGACCTGATCGATGCCTCTCCCTGGTCTCTCGTTCGTCTCGGAGGTGCCTACGTCTGTCTCTAACACTCGGTTTCTCAGTTACAAACTATAACAAAATGCACCATAGAAAAGCTATTTTACCATACAAAGGAATATGGATGTATATTTTCAGACTGCAGTTTTTTTTACGGATGTTGTTCGCATTATATGTTTTGCAAAGCGTTAGAATTTTAACAAAAGAAGAAGAAGAAGAAGAAAAACTTGCACTAATATTAAAGTAGCAAGTATTCCAGTAGTCGGACACACTAAAGTAACAGCAGCACAACGACACATGCAATACCAGCATCTACAGGACAACCCCATTCACCTCCTCTGTCTGTTCATCCCACAATGTTAAACAAGGGAGTCAGCTGTGAGAACTGTGTCCAGACCTGGTCCAGACTGAGGTCCAGACTGTGGGTCCAGACTATGGTCCAGACTGGGCTTTGTGCTAAAGCAGAGAAAACACATGATGCAAAATGGTCCGAATCCAGCGCCTTGCACTCACATCGACTGGGGAGCGCTGCCTGCCACCGGTCGACTCAGGGCGGCGTCCCGACTGAATGTGGAAGACTTTTAACAATTCTCAATTGTGGAAATGAATGAGAGAATGACGCTAATGTGAACTGGATGTGAGATTAAAGAGGGTTTTGAGAAATGTGTTGTGTGCATTTATTGCATCTGGTTTAAAGTCATTTTAAGTAACAGAGTTTAGGGGAAGCTAGTGAAAGGAAGAACTGTATCAAATATTGAGGCTTATTTAATGACTTGCTTTACATTTAAATTTAAATTGTGCACTTTTTTATCCCTTATATTTGTCCTCTGCATTTGACCCATCCTGGAATGCAACTAGGGCATCCATGCACTAGAGTATTGGTGGTCGTCATGGTAACAGCGTCCAGGAACCTATCTCTAAACGTTAACGCTCGGCTTGATCAGGACTAGAGCTGCATGTTTTTAGTAGTAGGGGAGCACCCGGAAGAAACCTACTCAGACACGGGAAGAACATGCATCACCTTCTTGCTGAGAAGGTTCATATCATTACTTATTGTTCATTCACATCATACACAATGGTGACAAACTACAACTGTGGCCAAAGCTATAATATTCATTTAATTTTGTTAAAACAAAACAATCACAGACATTCACTTGGAGCAAAGCTTCTCATTCAGCAGTATAATGAAATACTGTATACAACTGCGTTGTTTTCCAGCTGCGTGTGCGCCTCCGTGTGGACTGTTTGGGGAACTGCGTTGCATTGCCGCCTACAGTATGTGTAGAAAGACTTTTGTGTGAACGGTAAAACAATTCCCGGTTTTCTGTCTGTGCTATTTCTAAACTCAAAGTTTATTCAACGTGAAATTTATACATGTTTGAGTCAGAAGTTCAAATTCCCTTGCACTGTTTCTCCTTACTAATCTAATGTAGGTTGTAGTAATAATATCTATATGGACAATCCTTCCTCATTATAAAACTGATGATAAATGAACAGTCACACCACAAAATGCATTTATAAAATTTATTTGTGGATATATTCATCTAGATACAGTTCTGTATGATAACATATCGCTTCATATAGATATCTCTGCACACGGCTAGCTTAGCCAGGAGAACAGACACATGAAGCTCTGGATACCCACACATTCCACCAAACGCCAACAAATGCAGCTTCACTTCATCTACAATCAGTGAAAAGTACAATCATAGTTTATTTGTTTATTCAGATAGCACTTCTATTCTCATAACGCTAAACACTATACATTCTGTACAAAAAAGAAAGGTTTTCAAGCAATACGGGTGTAGCTGGAGCCCTGTTCAAACATGTGGCGGCAACTGAAGAAGGTTCCCATTAACCTGAAATGACAGTAGAAAAGAAAATACACAAAGGTAACTCCGTCTGCCCTGGTCCGCATGTTTGAATCTGCTGCAATGCCCAAATAATTCAAAAACAGAAAATAACCTATAACTGCATGTAAGCTTGATGTGGTCATTCTAAAACATTACCACATTGTCCTAGCAGCTGATACACAAGTCTAGAGAGAAAGAAAATAGATCTTTTTTTGTATCGTTTTTGAAGCAGTCACATATTGCACTATGAATGCGAGATACACCAGCTACACTACACAGGAAAGTGCATTTGTCTGTACAGTTTTAAACACACAGGAGCCATGTTTCCCGGCAGAGGACCAGGAATGAAATCATTGTCCGCACTGGCTTTGATAGCAACCACCAGAAAGCGAGTGAGTTCCACTTATGTGCTTAGGTAATGTCGTTGTATTTATACATTTGAAAGAAAAACACATTGTACTAAAGTCTAAAACAGCACAATAATCTTTCAGGGATGGGACGTGTGCGATTTCCACTATCAGGAATATCACAGTATATATTTATCCTGCTCAAAGAGATTCTCAACTGTCCAGATCATTGGCAAAAGACAAACAATAGATCTCATGGAGGCACGTGGACAGAAAGGACTTGTATTTTGATTACATATTATCTCAGGGTAATAACTTGGTCCCATCCCTGGCTCGGCTGGTGCCTCTGCCTCTCCTGGTGTGTGGAAACATGGCGCCCGCTGCACATACACATACACATCTGTACACATCATTCTCATCGAGGAGGCAGCGTCTCCCTACAGTACGATAGGATATTTCAACAGTTTGTTTCCCCGGTCCTGGTCCCGCTTCAGTCTCTGAGGTGTTGGTTTGGGGGATGGGGGGGCTCACGAGTGCACCTTGAAGGCCAGCAGTTGCTCAGAGTGCATGTTGTTGAGCGAGCGCAGGTCCGGCAGCTTGAGAAGCAGCTTGGTGAAGATGGCCGCCTCGTTGGGGTGCTTCTTGGTGATGAGGCTGCGGAGGGCACGGATCAGTGTCTCCTGCAGCGCTTCCACCGAGTTCACGTTCTCGATGCCAGAGCGGTCTGCGGACAAACAGAGGGAGGTCAGAGACGGACTGGACACTGGTGATGGGATGGTTCTGTCGTATGGTCAAGAGGAGGAAGAGCTCTTGTTGATGTATTATCCATGGTATAGCATTGTTGATATGGTTTAGTGTACTGCTTCATCCAACCCCTTTACAAACATGTGTTAGAGTAAAGATATGTGAAATTGTGTTTGAAATAACTAACTAAGTAGTACTGTTACCATGGTTTAGAACTGTTGCTATTGTATAGTAGCCATAGCCACATTAAACTACAACATTTAGATTGTTAAAGGGTATACTACCAAAGATATTACCAGAAGTCCCACCTCTTCTCTTCCACAGATCACTATTTTTGTTTTCAGTTCTCTCCTGTCTTTCTCCTAGTGTTATGCTGGTCCTCTACTGTCTTTAACCTTTCGTACTTTGCGTAAGGTAACCTTGAGTGCCCAGAACAGCGCCATATAAGTAAAATATATGATCATAATTAACATCCTCTTAGCCCATTTACAGCGCATTTGCTTGTTTATTATTCATGAATCAGAAACTGAATCTTTTCACCAAACAAACCATTTGAGATGTTACTTGGGCTCCGGAACATTGAGACAAATCTAAATCAGTGCTAGAAGAAACACAACAATGTGTGTCATGAACTCGCACAACCAGAAGGGGCAGTTTCAAAACACTGGTGTTGGTGCATGAGCTGACCGCACTCATGCAGGGCGTATGCAGAGGCCTCTACAGAAGCACTGGTGCTGGTTTAATGGTGTGTGTTTACTGGTTGCAGACGTACCAGCAGACACCAGCACCACGGCGGTGAACAGGCTCATCTCCTCGTCGCTCAGACCGAGGTTCATGAGTTTCTCACTGAAGTCGAACATAGAGTTGAGCAGGTCCCCGGCCCCCATGGCCCTCAGACAGTCCACACTGTACTTCTTACCCCCCAGGAAGGTCACCGTGCGCTCTGCCACGTCAAACAGAGAGGCGAAGCGCACCACCAGCACCTGAGACGCACACAGAGACACAAACACACACACACAAACTTTAGCACAGGCAGCATAAGTGGATCAGCTTCAATATGTCACAGTTCTTTTCTTTTATGTTCATGTGTGTGTGAAAGATAAGTTTCTTTCTAAACCACACATGTCTCTCTGAGGGTCTGAGCTGAACGTACTGAAGGTCTGGAGCCTCAGATCTAAAGTTTTAGCATAAAGTAGTAAGAGAGCAGTACCTCGAAGGTGCCAGCCTTCAGCAGGCTGACCTGGTCGTGCTGGGACAGGTCTCTGAAGCCGGGGATCTTTTTGGCAAACTCCACCACCTCCCGCACTGCGGGGGTGAAGCTGTGAGAGAACTCCTCCCACACCGAGGGGCCGGACTTGTTGGGGTCCACGTGAGGGGACAGGTTCATGGGACACACCTGTGGTCACAGTCGGAGCAGCGTGAGACTCAGTCCGCACAAACACAAGACAGAGTATGAACACAAGACCCTCTTACCAGGTGCATGCGGGTGCCCCCCCTCCACACCGGGCGCCCGTATGTGCTGTGCTCGGGGCCCTCGGGGGCCAGGCAGGTGCTGCTTTGGGCAGCTGAGAAGGGGCAGGCACTGGGTTCCTGGTTTGGTTGTGTTTCCATGGTAACCAGGTTGTTGCGATGGTTCCAATGCTCTGTGCTGTGATTGGTCGGGCAGTTGTCGGTGGGCGGAGCCTCCTGGTTATACATGAAGGTGTCTTGGTGAGCGCGCGTCACCGAGCCGATCACTTCCTCCTCGCCGCTGTCCGACGCGCTGGGGGAGCCAGAGCTGGTGTCCATGGAGACGCTGGAGTCTGATTGGCTGCGGGGGGAAGAGGAGGGCGTGTCTGAGGTAGCGTCCGTGTTGGTGGGCGGAGCTTTGGGGCCCTGCAGCTCACTGTTCATCATGTTGTTCATGGCGCTCTGCATCTCCAGGAGCATGCGCTGCTTCTCCCGCTTGGGGATGCGCCCGAATCGCACCGCTGTGCACCCAACACACACAGGTCAGAGCCTGGACCACGGCACAACATGTACATAAGAGCAAACACTCACCGTCCCGGGACATGCCCACCAGCAGGCACTTCTTGAAGCGGCACTGCTGGCAGCGGTTGCGGCTGATCCTCATGATGGGACAGCTGCCGTTCAACAGGCACTTCTTGTACTGGATGTTCTGCTGGATGCTCCGGCGAAAGAAGCCCTGCAACAGAACAAACATATTTTCACTCGCTGCTATAGCAACAGCTCATGGGACGGATGTTTGTGAACATAACCCTCACCTACATATCAGAACACACACTTCAGATGTGCGGCTTTCACACTGAAACTTCTGTTTTTTCCAATTTGTTAATTGACAAAACACTTGACTCCAGTAGATCATATAAGAATAAATGTGACTCCATCTAACCTGTTCTCAGAGCTATTATCCACAGTGTGGAAAAAGACAGCCCTGATTGTGATTGTTCTGTTCAATCAAATCCTGAAGCATCTGAGGCTGTGCTCACTCCACAGGTAACTAGACCACAGAGCAGTGTGCGCTGAGACCAGTGCTGAAACCAGTGCTGAGCATCAATATGAGGTTCTGGAACAGGACCCAGATGAACCTGCTTCCTTCGTGCTGCACATGGGCTTTTGGCTCTGGCCTAATGTCCTGCAGCTGCTCCTGTGTGCGCACAGTTAATGAGGCCAGTACCCAGGTGGCTCCAGGGACACATATGTGCGTTCATGTTCTATTTAAACATGCGCCTGAGGAAATTTTCTTTTCCATCTCGTGTTATAGAACTTTGAAAAAATGCACGTATTAGCATTATTTTGGGTTAGCACTATTGTATTACAGTATTCTAATTTGAATCACCCAGGGCAAACACACAGAAACGGTTGGGGCAGCATGAACCCCAGCTATGAAGATAAATACTGCTTGATGAATGATTATATTTTTATTATGAGGAATCAGTTCAGACTTTATTATGCTTTGCTCAGCAGTGTAAGTTATTTATGTTTCATTTTCTTAATTAGAATTCCTTTTCCAAGTACATTTCCACCTGGTATTAGTTGGTCTCACATCATGTATTCAGTGGATTGTTTTGGTCTATCTTTGCGTTTATAAAATAAACAATGGCTCTGACAGTGTTGCTTCCATTTTCCCTTGGCTCTACACACACATGGTGCTGGGTCACATGGTGCTGGGTCACATGGTGCTGGGTCACATGGTGCTGGGTAACATGTATTAGTTCTGGCTGAGACACTGACCTTGCATCCTTCGCAGGCGTGCACTCCGTAATGGAAACCCGATGCCACGTCCCCGCACACCTTGCAGGGCAGCACCAGTCCGTTCAGCTCTGCAAACACACACACACACACACAAACACACGTTTAACATCGGGACACCTGGACACATCAGGAGCCTTTAAACACATTCCCTCATGCAGTTATTGTGAGCACATTGTAAGAATTGAATGAAGGAAGAATTTGTTTCAAAAGAGATTTTATCACTGGGGACTTAGAGCAATGCCTGCATCCTACCACAAGGGGTCGGGAAATCAGAATCAGAATCAGATCAGAATCATTTTTATTGCCAACGTAAGTAACGGGAGGTCACAGACTTGGAAATTGCTTTGGCTCAGTGCAACAGTCAAAAAGAGATAATAAAAATAAGAATAAAAAACACTTCTAAAGAATAAATTTAAATTTAAAATAGAGTTACAGTTACTATTTACAATATACAAGTGCACATGGTGCACACAATGTAAGGTGACAGCAGTACAGTGAAGTAAAGTGACGTATGATGGGCAGTAAAGTGACTTTATAAAGGGCGGGGGGACAGGTTAAGAAGTGTTCAAGAGTCCAACAGCAGAGGGGAAGAAACTGTTCTTGTGGCGGGAGGTTCTAGTCCTGATGGACCGCAGCCTCCTGCCTGAGGGGAGTGGTTGGAATAGTCCATGTGCAGGGTGAGAGGGGTCGGCTGTGATACGACCAGCCCGGCCTCGAGCTCGGGCGACGTACAGGTCCTGCAGCGATGGAAGGCTGCGGCCGATCACTTCCTCTGCAGAGCGCACAATGCGCTGTAGTCTCTGTTTGTCCCTGACTGTGGCTCCAGCGAACCACACGGTGATGGAGGAGGTGAGGATGGACTCGATGATGGCCGTGTAGAACTGCACCAACATCTGTGCAGGCAGCTTGGCTTTCCTGAGCTGCCGCAGGAAGTACATCCTCTGCTGGGCCTTCTTGATGAGGGAGCTGATGGTCGGCTCCCACTTGAGGTCCTGGGTGATGGTGGTGCCCAGGAAACGGAAGGACTCCACAGAGGTGATGGGGGAGTCCATCACGGAGGGTGGGGGCGGGGGGACAGTGCTCTTCCTGAAGTCCACAATCATCTCCACTGTCTTCTGGGCGTTCAGCTCCAGGTTGTTACCACTGCACCAGGACACCAGCCGGTCCACCTCCCTCCTGTAGGCGGACTCATCGTTGTTGGAGATGAGTCCAATGAGGGTGGTGTCGTCCGCGAACTTGATCAGCTTCACGGAGTCGTGGCTGGAGGTGCAGTGGTTGGTGTACAGGGAGAAGAGCAGGGGAGAAAGAACACAGCCCTGTGGGGCTCCTGTATTTATAATCCGAGAGTCCGAGACATTCTTCCCCAGACGCACTCGCTGCTTCCTGTCCGTCAGGAAGTCAGTGATCCACCTGCAGGTGGAATCGGGCACGTTGAGCTGGGAGAGCTTGTCCTGGAGCAGGGATGGCAGGATTGTGTTGAAGGCAGAGCTGAAGTCCACGAACAGGACCCTGGCGTAGGTCCCCGGGGAGTCCAGGTGCTGTAGGATGTGGTGGAGGGCCAGGTTAATGGCGTCGTCTACAGATCTGTTGGCTCTGTAGGCGAACTGCAGGGGGTCCAGGAGGGGGGAGGTGAGGGACTTGAGATGGGAGAGAACCAGGCGTTCAAATGACTTCATGACGACAGACGTAAGTGCTACAGGTCTGTAGTCATTGAGTCCTGTGATCCTGGGCTTCTTCGGGACGGGGACAATGATGGAGGATTTGAAGCAGGCCGGGACATGGCAGGACTGCAGAGAGGAGTTGAAAATGTCCGTGAACACAGGAGTAAGCTCACTGGCGCAGTGTCTCAGAGTGGCCGGAGACACGTGGTCCGGGCCAGGAGCTTTGCGGGGGTGCAGCCTCAGGAAGAGTTGTTTAATCTCTTTAGCGGCTATTGTTAGGCTGGGGGAAGGGCTGATGGGTGGGTCGTTAGAGTAGTGGGGGGTGGGGGAGGGAGAGGTGTCAGGGGCAGCATCAAAGCGACTGAAAAATAAGTTCAGATCGTCAGCTAGCTTGTGGTCATCAGCACAGGGGGGGGCTTTGGGTTTGTAGTTGGTGATCTCCCGTAGGCCCCTCCAGACAGAAGCAGTATCGTTGTTACCAAACTGCTCCTGTAGTCGTTCTCTGTGCCGGGACTTGGCTGCTTTCAGTTCTTTCCTGAACTGATATTTAGCTGCTTTGTAGCCGCTGCGGTCCCCCTCCCTGAAAGCAGACTCCTTTGCTTTCCTGAGCTGCCGGAGTTTAGCAGTGAACCAGGGTTTGTCGTTGTTATAGATGACCCTGGTCCTTGTTGGAATGATGCTATCCTCACAGAAGTGGATGTATGACGTCACAGTGTCCGTATATTCATCCAAGCTGTCTGTGGCAGCTCTGAAAAGGTCCCAGTCTGTAGATTCCATGCATGCGCGCAGCTCTTCCACAGCTTCATCAGACCACACTTTGGAGCTCCTCACTGCAGGTTTCGAGAGCTTTAGTCTCTGTCTGTAAGCAGGAACCAGATGTATCATGGAGTGATCTGAGAAGCCGAGGGCTGGCTTGGGAACAGCGCGAAAAGCTCCGCGCACGGTGGTGTAACAGTGATCCAGAGTGTTCTCCTCTCTGGTCGGGCATTTGATAAACTGTCTGTATTTGGGTAATTCCTGGCTCAAGTTTCCCTTATTAAAATCCCCCAGGATAATAATCAGAGAGTCCGGGTATAAGCGTTCCATACACAGTACTTGCTCTGCGAGTGCGCGCTGAGCCTCGCGCGCGTCCGCGCATGGCGGTATGTAAACAGAGGCAAGAATGAATGAAACAATTTCCCGCGGGGAGTAATATGGTTTACAATGAATGAAAAGATATTCCAGAGCAGGAGAGCAGTGCTTGGAGATCACTGTCACATTGTTACACCAGTTTGTATTGACGTAGAAACAGAGCCCTCCGCCTCTGCTCTTCCCTGAGAGCGCACAATGGCGATCCGCGCGAAACAGCCCAAAGCCCTGCAGCTCCAGAGCGCAGTCCGGGATCCGCTCATTTAGCCAGGTCTCAGTGAAGCAGAGGACACAGGATGTGGCGAAGTCCTTGTTTCTTCTCATGAGCAGGCTGAGTTCGTCCATCTTATTGCCCAGTGAGCGTACGTTGGAGAGAAAAATGCCGGGGAGAGCCGTGCGCGCTCCTCTCCTCCTAAGACGCACGAGCAGGCCTCCTCGCTTTCCCCTTTTACGGGCCCACACTTTTTTGGCTAGAACATGAACTAAATCAGCCGCAGATGCCAAGAAAACAGGCAATAGGTCCATGGGAACGGTGGGTCGGATGTTCATAAGTTCCTCACGGGTGTAGGAACAGCCAGATGCACAGTTAAAAAGTAAAAACAAAAGAAAAAGAGAGCAGCAAAGAGCCATGTCGACCGTACGAGGCGCCATCTTGTCCTCCTCAATAAAATCCATTCATGAAACACATGGGATTCAGCAGAGTTGTGAAGCCATTTTGGCACAAATGAAAAAAATGCTGCAGAGAGAGTACCAGTGACTTGAAAATGTACGTACACAACTTGAACTTTTGCATATAAAGATATTATTATGGATTGTTTTATTTAGACCACAACAAAATAAATTTAGACCACAATTTTGAATCATGAATAAAATCATGAATAAAACTTTTCGGCAGACATCACTACCAAAGGATTTCATTCTCAGCAGTCATGTCTTTTATAATCCTGTGTATTTGTTATAACCTATGACACTGGTGCTAATGATAGACTATGTTTTCAACATTGTGAAGCTGTGTGATTTTCCGACACTAGAATGATCAGTGTTCACTTACTGGTGATGCCACACTTGGCAGTGGAGGGCCCTCGTCCCTTCAGAGCAGGCAGGGCCCCGGGGCCTCGCTTTGGGGACGAGCCGTGGAGAGGAGAGGACGACTGGTCGCTGCCATTGGACGAGTCGCTGTGGCAGGACTCTGGGCTGAAGCTGGATGAGCTGATGTAGGTGATTACACCTGCAACACAAGTATGGATCTTTTATAACACTTTTGAAGCAACTGTGGTTAAAGTTTTACTCATTTTGACAGTATGCAGGACTCCACTGATTTTCCTCTTGAATGTTTTGGTTATCTGAAGGCTGAAGCTACTGGTGCCGTGGCAAGTGCTGATTGGATTCCTCCATGGTATAAAATCACATGCACGCAGCAAATCTTTGGCCGTGTCTCTTTGTTGCATCAATAAATGTCTTCTGTCTGTGACACAACCCCAGACCCCTGTGCCATTTTCTTCACGAGCACCAAGGAAGCTTTAGAAAAGAGCATACAGCAGTATTGTGCTGATTTAACATGTTTTATTTGATTTTTATTTCAACTTAATTTCCATTTGACAGAACTACATTCACAGTCTTTTTTTCTGCGGAAATTAGAGCTGAAGACAAGTCCATAATTATCTATACTTTGCTTATTTGTTGAGATTTAATGGCTGTGAAATTAAGCAAGTGTCATTTTGAGTCAAACCTCTAGAATAGTGGTAGTGTTTCATTTCAGTAATTTTCCATAATGGTGCGGTCTAATTGAAAGGACACAGAATTTGGCTGGGGAAATTACAAAACTAATTTATAGGCCGTACTTTTGTTTTAAAGGGCAGAAAACTGCTCTGTTATTGCTGTAATATTGTAAGGATTCATTGCACAGGGGAGTGTTGAGGTGACTGCATCAGAACTGCCTTGTATTATCCTGGAACAGCTCCAGGTCAGATCTCGATGTCGTAACGTGGTTAAAAACTAATAAATGCAATGAATTATGTAATAAGTGAAGCATTCAGCCTGTTACATAAGCTTGTTTGTTTACTCAAAAGCAACCATGTACTGGATAAATCTACTAATCAGCCATTACATTCTTCCATCACTTATTTTTAAACAGGCTTTCCTACTCCTTTGTACGTAGCCAAACTGTCAGTCCACAGCAATACCCACGAATGTACCAGACACGTCATGTACCCGGGCAGGAGCTACACGTGCAGTTCAAAGCGAGCCCTGAATAGCGCTTGCACAACGGAGCAGCCCCATTGGCCGCCCTGTCACTGTATCTCTCCCGGTCTGGAAGCAACAGGCTTAACATAAAGACGGCACATCATAATAAGAGCGCTGCGTTCAGCCAGTAGGAGCCCGTCATGCGGCCCTGCGACTGCCCACAGAGGCTGACCTGATTTCCTTTCCTCCGGCTTCTCAGAATGATTAGGTAACAACAGGTATTACATAATATAGGCTTGGACTGGGTGTGTGTAGTAGGTACTGTAGTCTAGCCCATTCACAGCACGTACTGGTTAACACAAGGGAATATAATACACTACGTCTGAGATCAATGTTCTTTGGGATTGTGTGTGGATTGGAAAGATTCACATGTTAGAAGAGGCATACGTTTTTTAAGTTTGCTGATAACATAACTAATCCAGTGTTAAAACAGAGTTAAAACAGGGTTTTGTCTTGCTTTTGGACTGCCCTGGACATTAAAAAAATTGCCTAGTTCTGTCACTCTCCTCCTCACAAGAATGTAGAGCGGGCGCAACGTGACTCGACTTCAAGAAGAAGAGTGCAGCTGCAGGCGTGGTATTGCAATATAAAAATATGCTACGTTGTTTACAAGCAGAGCTGCTGTATTCTGAAATAATAATAATGTGTTATTAAATATTGTATTAATCTCTTTGTTTTGTAGAATTTCATGCTAAGTGTTTCTTTTGTATTTTAATTTATGTCATGTCTGGCAGGCCATGACAGAGCATACAGATAATTATTGAGTACTGTTGCCAAAGTGATATTTTTTCTTTTGAATGGGGAAAAAGGACCTTATCATTTGGTCAAGTGATACAACCTTTTTAATACCATTTATGGGAACTGTAATGCAACCATTGTGTGTAAACAAGTACTAACTTTATAAAGGCTTTATAAATATTGTGCTGATATCATTAGTTGTCAAAGGAGCCAGTTTTTAAAAATCAAATTAATGACCTTTTAAGACCCTGGGTACCCTGTTTTACAAAAAGACCACTGAGAGTAAGGGTGGTCCTCTCTTTGCCATCTTTCTGTGTGAATAAGCTGATCCAAAGCTGTACAGAGTAAAAAAATACAGGCTTATGAAAACTAGTGGAGCAGCTTTTTTTCTTTTTCTTTTTTAGAGCAAATAACTCAACAATGTTATGACATAGCTGGAATGTGGAACGGGGTAATATAAATACACGTAATAGTTTCTCGCTTTCAAGACAGTTCTATCCTTATGACATACATGCATTTTTGCCCTCACATAAACACACATAGATTATCTTTTTCAGACGAAAAAGTGATAAAGAAAGGACCACCCTTATCAGCAAATCCACTTTCACCCCAAACCGTTATATATTGACTCTAACAATGACAGGACTCTTTCCTTACAACAAGCATGCACGTTTTCTAACAAGATAAAGGACATGATGCTGTGGTCCAATCTCTGTTGGGACAAACGCATGATTTAAACGTATGATTTATGAAACAAAAAGTTCAGTACCTCAGCTTTAAACCCGCCCACACGTGGAGCAGAAGTGGGTCAGCGCGCTCGCCTCACGTGTACCCAGGTCTGCTCCACGCGCTTGCCAGCCACACTAAATTATGCAACAGGTGCGTCACAGCAGCTCTCGGCCAATCAGCGACGAGTGTGGAGCTAGCATAAACACAAGCGCACATGGCCTGCCTGACGGGTCCATGTGAGGCGAGCCTGCTCCGCTGCTTGGGTAATGACAGCCACATACAGCTACTGCTAACCTATTGTTGTATTAGCGAACAATTATAAACTGTCAAAACCGTGTGGCCTCGGTATTATATAGAGTAATTAACATGACATTAATATTTACTTTTTATGCGTTATATTGTTTTGATGCATTTTCTATAACATCTATAACATACTGCAGAAAAACAAGTCGAGTGCGTGAGGTAAAGGTAAAATAACCAAATATATGACACTCACCGGCTTTAGTCGACTCCATATCCGTGGTCTTTCGGGTCTCCTCCTCTGCTACCTTAGTGCCGAAGCCGTTTTTATACTTTGGCGTGTTCAGCAACTGTAAAGTCGCTGATCTTTCATACAAAACAGGCTACAACATTTACAAACCGCAAAACTCTAAAAACGTAACGTCGTAAAATGTCGAATTATCTCACCCACGACAGCTAAATTATAACAACAACGTGTTATATGTCGAATGATGGTGGCTAAGTTTGCTATAAGTTGACGAGTCCTGGTAGGCTCTCGAGGCTTGCGTCAAAAATAGGAAAAAAGCGTCTTCTCTGTGTGGATAATGTTGGTCTTTTTTGTCAAAAAATTGCAGGTTTCATTGATTTGAGGTCGTGCGAAGAGACGACGTGCTGTTGCGTTGACGCGGGAGTGGGATCTGCTGTGTTTCTGCTCCTGAGCTGAGTTCTGCTGCAGCCATGTGACCCACTTCACCAACTCCTCCTTCCACTGCCGACACTGGCTCTCTGTAACCCACTGACATACTTTCACCAGTGGGCAAAAGTGAACAGCGACCCCAGAGGAAGCTCAAGTCGCCATTCACAGTCTGAGGAAGGAAGTATGGATTTACATTTGTTGGGTTGCTGTATATATGCAAAACTAGACAGTGGACTAGTTCCTTTCTTTCGCCTTGTCCCTGTCTGTGTCAAATAGAGGTCGCAAATCAGATGAGACTAAAACTAGTATAGAAACTACATAATTTTAGAAATTTGATTCAATTAAATTTATTTTGTATAGCCCTAAATTACATCAACAATTATCTAGGAGGACTTATATAGTCGATTTTCCAATTAACTGTAAGAATAAGGAGCACACAACACAAGATGAATGGAAATTAAGTACAGCACAACTCCACTTTTAAAATAAAATCTATATCTTTCGATTGTGTGTATAAATCTGTAATACACTACAAATGCATTTCTATAATTTGTCAGCTCAAAATGGAGTGGGAAAGAAGGCAAAACTTATAGACTCCCGCCCCATAAACATAATTAAAATACATTCAAGAATTTAGTTTGAATGAAGCTCATTCTAACATTAGTATCTATTCTGAAATATATCACACGAACAGAACAAAATGTGAGATTCTAACAGTTTTTTGCCATATTACAACTAAAACCTTACATTTGTTTTTGTTTTCCAACACTTCATATATGGCCCTAATGTAGTTGTAGTGTGAATCAATATGGATATATTTTACCCCATTTTAAAATACAGCAAATCCATTCAAAACAGTTTTTTTGCAATCCAAATAGTCTAAGTGGCCTTCTCACTAAAACGTTTGGACACCCCTGTCCTATATGAATTGGCTGCCCAAATAACTCACAGAAAATATGATTCATTTCCTTCGTACAGGTCTATCCGTTGCTCATGTCTCTGGTCTAAAATAAGGTATTCTCATCTTTCTGGTTAAAAAAAGTAGCTTCTGTGGGTTGTATTGCAAGCAAAACAATATGTCTCTGAACAAATGCAAAGTGGGGATGGTAGATGTTGATAGATAGACAGATACTTTATTGATCTCCGTAGGAGAAAGTCAGGTGTCCAGTGGCAGCAAAATTAAAATTGATCATTCTAAAAAGCTACAGGCTACAGCCACAGGCCTTCAGGTCACAGCAGAAAAGACGGAGTGGTCTCTGGATGGAGCAGGACGGGTCACAGCAGCAGAGGTGGAGAAGCCGCTGCGTTAAATTATAAGGCACAAAACAACAACTCTTTCAGAGCTACTTAGGACTTGCAGCCGTTTTCTAGCGCATTCAAAAGTAAAGTTGAAGCGTGGTTGAAGAGGGCTTAAACTAAAAAAGAGCAATAACGGCTATTTGCTTGAAGTATGAGATTACAGAGTCAGTCTAGGAGTACATCTGTTTTTATCATAATGTTGAGCTTACAAAAATTTAAAAGAACCCAGTTTTTAACTCCACATATGGCAGACCTATTGGTCAAAGTGAGAGGCCGCATGTCCTAGTGCTCGACTTTGTGTGTATACCACATGCAAAGCTAGCCCTCTTACTCAAGTCAACCAATTATTTATAAACATTTGAATTAAATAGGACAAAAACACAATAAACAAGTCCATAAAAAAGCACATAGTGATTTTAAACGATACATTTTCTTGTTTCAAACTATGATTCTTCTCTAACTGGAACATGTGAGAACCTCCGGACTCTCTGATTGAGAATGCTCAGCCAAAGGGAAGCACAAACAGAAGAATGTTTACCATTGCTTTATCATGTTTAAGAATACACCGGAGACTCGTATCCAAAAAAGTGAGGCTCATTAAGTTTAGTGATAGAATATGTAGCTTTTTGACAATATTCTTTATTTACTTATTTTTATGTTATTGCATAGCTGTGAATGTTATCAATCCAAGTACAGCGAGTTGAGTGCCATAAGGTTGATTGAATTGTTTACAAATAATAAACATTGGAGACGTTACTACATAAGTTAGATGAGTGATATTTACATTTCTGAAGTTGAGCATGCTTCGTGGCTGCCTTCTGTAAACATAAAAGTGATTCAAAAACGTGTATCTATATGTTCATTAATAGTCATTAATGTTTTTTTCTCCTTAGAAAACGTCTGATCCTCATTTGTCTTCAACACATGTCTCAAGGCTGCAACACAAAGCACAGACAAAAACATTCTAGGTCAAATGGCAAGTAAAGGTTGCCTCTTTTGTCTCAGAGTAGTGTATGTCACCAGCACGTGCAAAGAACTTTACTTCTTCACGTGAATATAGTTCAGTGTCTGCTCATATTCTAGGAACAGATCGGATACAATCTATGGACCCATCAAGCCCAGTTCACACTAGATGGGATTTCTTACTCAGCGTTACCCGAGTCGGAGCACGCCGCACCTCCTGTTATGTTGTTTTGCATGTGGGGACGCAGGGCTGACTGTTTTGTTGTTTGTATAGAGCAGAATCTAAACATCTTCATGAAGCTAGCACATTACTAGCCCGGCTTGGCACATGCTGCGGAGAGAAACGGACCGTGGGAACTGGACTAGGAAGAAAACAAGGTTTTCCGATAAGGGAATAGGGGTAGACGCTCGTGCCGAGGTGGATGACAGAGATGGCCAATATATAGGCCAAATAGATAGGAATAAAAATGTTGACATTATTATTGTAAGTACTTGCCCTCACTACTACTGCTACTACGCTTAGTTTTCAGAGAGCACTATTTCCTTAGGGCAGGGGTCTCTAACGTTTTTCAACTGGAGAGCTACTTTTATATATACCATTATGCTGTACAGTGTCACAGCATTAAGGAAAAGATTTTTTAAAACAGACGTGTAATGACTACCTGAAAGGAGGTGGTGAGCTACAGGTAGCTCCCGAGCCACAGCTTGGAGACCCCTGCCTTCGGCTAAATATACATATTACATTTTTAGTGCTTGCTATTCACAGTGTACATGCCGTGTGTAGCAACAATGACATTTCCCCTCAGTGGGAAAAAAGGGTTCTTGTATTTTATCTCTAAAAATTATCTGCAAAACTTTATATTGGAATTAGAACATGCCAAGACATATGAAGGCATGATGATGAATTTCAACTAAATGTCGTTTCCAATACTACTACCACATGCACTGGGACTGAAAAAAACTACATTGCTAAAGCCACTTTTTATTGTACATAATATATCCTGCACTAAAGAGACTATATTTTTAACCTTTAACATGTTTGTACATCGCTCCATTTTGAGATCAATATTGTTTATCTTATCTTATCTTTCTAGAAAAAAAAAGCTTTTGTCAGTATTGCACTCACTTAAAACTATACTGTATTTGTAAATATACGGCAATGTTTGCAAAAAAATAAAACTTTCAAACCAATTCACACAAACCACACTCAACATGCAATAGAGTCCAACTAAACAAGACCATTGTATTTAAAGACCGCCAGCCTCAACATGAGAATATAGTTATTAGATTCAGATTCAGACTACTTTATTTATCCCACTAGGGGCAATCCGTTTGAGCAGCACAGGGCATAAAAAACAACAGAAACACATAAGACACAAGACATGTCAAACAGTAACATAAGCGATACGATGTGATGCATGCACACATATTAACACAATACAAGCCCAAACACCAACATAGTTCTACACTATGAAGACTAGTGCACATATGTTCAGTATTTACTCCACACCAGTTGGCATTGGTGATGTATATTTTAGAGTTGTCATTCAGAGGTGGTTATATTCACTAAAATACATGTTCTTAGGTAAAAGTATATTTAGACGGTCTGTCAACATTTACCACCATTTATGATGATATGATTTTGTTTTTTTTCTTTCGGTGTCTTTCCCGACAACAAATGTATCCCCGTGTGAAGTAATAGCACCATTTTGTCATAATCATTTTACCCTTACCCAGGGTCAGGTCGCAGTGGCAGCAGGGATGCTCAGCCTTTCCTCTTGACTAAGCTCTTTATACCAGGATAATATAGGCTAATAGAGAATTATCAATGGCCTGGTTGTATCTGTTTGCCTAAATCAGGAAATGTATTGTTAAATTAGAAACAGGGTATTATTCAGCATCATCATTCAAAAGCAAAGCATTGTGGGATTGGATTGGCTTCACTGTCTCATACTCAAAGTTTTCAGCGGTAGATTTATGAATACCCATCTGTACGCCTCCATCTGTTCACTATTGATTAAGAAGAAATGATTATTGCATTAGAATACCCCACATGAAGGCTATTCTCATTAGTTAGGAAGTGTATCAGTGACAAGAAGTCGTCAATATCTTTTTACCAATAGAATAAGGGGTCATATGTGGTGCTAATTATGGATTATTAATAACTTTATGCCAATTATAGTTCATTTTGACCTCCACAATGTCTTTGTTCTAAAATTCTCTGGCAGTTTAGTCATCAGTTTAAATGTTCCAGCTCACAAATCCTATACTGGTATCAGATATCCTCATATGGCCATATTTTGGCTTATTACAAACTGATATTAATGTCAGAGTTTT